GCTTATAACCTCATTTAAAAAAGAACAAGAAATAAACTTGATAATAATAATAATAATAACTAGCATATGTGCTCCGCACGGTACGGTGTTGAATGATTGGGAAAAGGTGGCGATCATGTACATTGTTGAATAGAGAAGTTGAGGAGGCAAGATGTTATGGTTACCATGTTGTTATTTTTCTGAAGGGTGTCTTTGTAGTTAATGTTTTAAGTGTCTTTGCTGCACACTGCAGTCCTTGTGAGGAATTATTTTGCAGTCTGATCAAAGGTGGATCCAGAATGTTTCAAACTGGGGTTGTGGGGGGGGGGGGGTGCACAACAGTTTTAGAATAATTGAATATAAATGCATATATTGCATTGAAATTTTTGAAAAATTTGTGGCAAAACCCTTCCCAGTGACATCCCTCTTCCCTACTGGGTTACCCTTAACACTACAATATATCCAGTGTAATGCAATGGGTACTCCGAAGAGGTAATGTATGTCACCCATTTTGTTGACGAACGTGAGAAGTGCTGGGCGGTGACGTAATAAAGCTGCGAAACATAGACTGGTTCTTTTATGGCTGACTTGATCATTTTTAGACCTAAGCATTGCAGTACAGAATAGATGTGATTAATTGTATTAACATGGCGAAACAGGTACTGACTTTTTGTGGTTTTTGGCTGTTTTTTTGTTGTTATCAAATATCCAGCCTTAAAAAGTGCCGGATTGTGGTCGTAACATAGAAGCCCCAGTGTATGAGATATGAGCACATTCCTGCCAGCGGTTTCAGAGGAGATAGGGAAATTTACACAGTGGCGATTAGCAAACTTAATATATAAATAATAAAAACTTTATTTAACTACAGAAACACTTGTTCACCACAGTGGTGTTTTTCAACAAGGCCTTAAAGGCATTGTAAAACTCAACAAAACAGAAATTAAAACAAAAAGGATTTATATATTAAAATGAATTAAATATTGAAACTTAAGAAATTAGCAAGAATTTTTCTTTTTTTCCTGATGGTAGGTGTTCTGTACACAGGCATAGATGATGGTCGGTTAATTGCAATTAATGGTACTGAAGTTAATACTATAGCATCATTTCATGCAAGTAATGATGAGTCTATACCATGTGGTAAGTAACATTTATTTAGAGAGGTACCATGAAGCTCTGTCCAGACTATCTTTGACAAAAACTGTTGTATGTCCAGGGCCATATTAATGATGTGCCTTTACGTGTCACCAAACTGAGAGATTTGAAATGCATGACTACACCAGTTGGGTGGGGGCGCCTGGGCCACTGGGGTCAGGGGCGGAACCCTGGAGGCAAGGGTTCCAGTCACATAATCAGTGGTTGGTTGTGACAATGACACGCAAGACCGCACGCGATTCTACACTAAGTGCATGGTTGGCTGGGTTGTTTTGGTCGGTAAATTGATTTTCAAACGAGATAACGAAAGCTCTCTAATGACTCAATCTACTGCATGACTGTTTTTATATTTTATAGTAAAACCAATTTATTCTAATTTTAAATACATTTTTCCATGAATTTGTAATAATTTGTTATCATGCATAGACTTGTGCAAAATGTGTGACAAACTTCTGATCATGCATGTGTTTCTGCAAAATGCATGTTTCATCCAAAATCACTTTGAAATGCTGGGGTGTCCTACCTGATGAGAGACGGTAGTTAACTATGCTTTATATGGTCATGATGTGATGTCATCATAACCATATTTGTGAGGTCTCAACACGAAATGAGATGCATCGTTGGTGAAATCATATTGAGATATTCACCAAAATAGGTCAAAGGCAACATTTTTACAAAATTTTGATTTTAATGTTTTTGAATAACTTGATACTTATATTTTATCATTGTGTACTTTTTAACCCTTACGCTGCCATCTTCGCATAAATGCGAATGCCACACAATTGGTGTGCATGCTAGTTTCGCATAAATGCGATTAGGCTCACTGTCAGCC